AGAGAGAGAGAGAGAGAGAGAGAGAGAGAGAGAGAGAGAGAGTATCACTGTATCAGGAAAAAAAGAAGAAGAGAGAGGAGTATCAGGAAAAAAGAGGAGAAGAGATGTCGGGAAGCACTGATATATGGGAGCAAATCCGCAAGGAGGCGCGGACGGAGTCAGAGGCAGAGCCGGTACTCGCGAGCTTCTTGTACTCGACGATCATAGTTCATCGCTCGCTAGAGCGCGCACTCGCGTTCCACTTGGCAGGGAAGATGTCGTCGGCCACACTGTTATGTACGCAGTTGTTCACACTGATGACGGAGATCTACCAGAATGATCGCTTCATCGGCGACGCCATTCGAGCGGACCTCGTCGCGTTTCGGCAGCGCGACCCCGCCTGCGAGACGTACCTCCACGTCTTCCTCAACTACAAGGGGTTCCTCGCTGTCGAGGCGCACCGCGTCGCTCACTCCTTGTGGAAGAGCGGCCGGAGGTCGCTCGCGCTTGCCATCCAAAGCCGCGTTTCTGAGGTCTTTGGTGTCGACTTCCACCCCGGGGCAACCCTCGGGAGAGGGGTCTTCTTGGACCATGCAACGGGCGTCGTCGTCGGGGAGACTGCGGTCATCGGGAACAACGTGACCATTCTACACCATGTTACGCTGGGTGGGACGGGGAAGCAGACGGGGGACAGGGACAGGCACCCGAAGATCAGAGACAACGTACTGATCGGAGCGGGCGCGCAAGTTCTCGGCAATATCGTCGTGGGAGAGGGCACCAAGATAGGCGCAGGATCGGTGGTGCTTTCGAACATCCCACCGTATTCCACAGCAGTTGGATCGCCGGCACGCGTCGTCATCCCGAAGAAGAACAAGACCTTCGACGGCTACAAGGTAGAGAACTGGGACGACTACGAGATTTGAGGCGACATCGTGATCATGAGGAATTCTTTTTGTCTGACCGGAAGACGATCGTAGCAGAAAGCGGGAGACAGCAGTAGTCGGGAGGGACAGGAAATATAACCACGGGAACTAACGAACGAAGAGCATGCCGACATAGACGACGACATCGAACCGGAGCCCTTTTTGAGTCGAGTAATGTGCAAAGCTCCTGGAATACGAAAACTGGTTTCGGTTGGAAAGAAGCTGGGAACTGTATGGAGGAACTTGGAGCGTAGTGGACTGGGAAATTAGACCTGGTTTAAAGACCGGGCCGGTTCGAACCTTCCAGGCACGGATTCGAACCTTCCAGGTTGAACCAGGGCCCGCTGGAAACCGGAGCTTCAACTAGACTCGGAGGTGGGGCCAGAACTGGAACCAGGACTGCAACCGGGACTGGAACCACGTTAAATCGAGCGTGGGAAGAGTGAACTGAATGAAGGACTGGAACTGGAACTGGGCCCAGCCAGAACTGGGACCAGGTCTGGAATTGGAAGTGGACCAGTTTGCCCTGGGACTGAACCAAGTGAACTGAAAGACTTGAGAGAACTGGAACCGGAAATGGAGCTTGAACTGGAGCTGTAACTTGAGTCTGACCTGCACAACTAGAACCAGAACTTCAGATGGGACTGGAACTGGAACCATCATCAGAACCAGAAGCGGATATGGAACCAGAGGTCCATAACTGATATTTGAAGTGGGACTGGACTGAGTGACCCGGAACCAGCACTGGAGCTTGAACTGGAACCAGAACAGGAGCTTCAACTGGAACCAGAACGGGAACCAGAACTGGAACCAGAACTGGAACCAGAACTGGAACCAGAACTGGAACCAGAAACTGGAACCAGAACTGGAACTGGAACTGGAGCTTGAACAGGAACGGGACCAGAACTGGAACTGGGACGAGAACTGGAGCTTGAACTGGAACTGGAACCCGAATTGAAACTGGTTGGAACGGGGAATGGGCCGAGTGGACTGGAGCTTGAATTGGACCTGGAACCACCGCTGGGACTGTAATTGTAATTGTAAGTAGAAGGTGCGGAAGTAGAGGGGTTATCAGAACCAGGTCCAGAATCTAGACCAGGTTCAACTGCAATTGGTCTGAATTTGACCTGAAGCAGTTGTTGAGGTAGTCGATGACCAGGGAGGGTCATCCGAACTACAACCTGGAACTGGAACCGGAACCGGAAGTGGAACCGGTACTGCCGGAACTGGAACCGGAACCAGAACTGGAACCAGAACTGGAACCAGAACTGGAACCAGAACTGGAACCAGAACTGGAACTGGAACTGAAACCGGAACCAAAACTGGAACTGGAAACGAAAGTGGAACTGGAACTGGAACCGAAACCGGAAGTGGAACTGGAAGTGGAACCGCCGGAACTGGAACTGGAACCGGAACCAGAACCAGAACTGGAACCGAAACTGGAACTAGAACCGGAACTGCAACCTGGTCTGAAACCGGGACTGGACCTGGACCTGGAACCGGAACCGGAACTGGAACCGGAACTTGTGTTGAAATTAGAACTGGAACTGGAGCTGGGACTAGAACTGCACAAATTGTAAGCCAGGGGCCCAACACAAAGTAGGTACGTGATTTGACAGCCAGAGGAAGGGATGGAGCTTGGCAACTGAGCAGGTTTTTTTTTTTTTTTTTTTTTTTTGTATGTTTGTTTGTGTTCTTGTTCTTTTTTGCCCCTCCTGGGAAAAAATGAGCACCAGTTGTTCCCCTCTGTCTCAGGACAGCTTTTCAAGCTCATCTTCTTTTTCAAAGTCTGCTTCTTTTGATGAAGGTGCAGGTTTTAGAAAGCCGGAGCAGCTAGGCTTTAAGGTCAGTCCTCCAGATAGGGACACATGCGGGTTGGTAGTCTCTCTCTCTCTCTCTGTGTGTGTGTGTGTGTGTGTGTGTGTGTGTGTGTGTGTGTGTGTGTGTGTGTGTGTGTGTGTGTGTGTGTGTTGTGACTGCAGGTAGAAGAAATGATTGTAGATGTCTTAGAGTAAGTTACATGGTCCCCCTCCCCCCCTCCCCCCCTCCCCCCCCCTCTCGGAGAATTGGACAGGAGAAATAGATAAGACTGGAAAAGTAGATAGAGATTTTTTTCCTCTCCTCTGAATTGCAGGCGTGGGGAATCAGAGAGGAGGGGGGCTCTCTCCTGTCGTGAACGATTTTTGTTTTTCCGGCGCATTTCAATTTCTTGTCGCTCAATTTGTCGATTTCTCGTACATTTTGTTTCGTTGGAAACTAAGGAGAGAGTATGGAAAGGGTAAAAACTGCAGAGGTGTTCTCTCTCTCTCTCTCTCTCTTCTTCTGCTCCGCCACTTTCGTGCCTGCTCTGCCCCAAACATTGTGGCTAGTTGGCCGAATGCTAGTCATAGGAGTAGGAGATTGTGGCGCGGCTGTTTTAAACCTTTTTTCTGTGATGAAAGGAAAAATACTAAAATAGTAATTTAAAAATGCTAAAATTTGTGAAATACAGTTTACAGTTTAGGAAAAGAGGGATTTTTGCAGGCTTGCCTGGCAACCTTTTTTTGGGTGGGAATATGGAGTTGATCCTTTCTTTTGCCGTCTTCGTTTTGGGCCACAGGACCCACTATAAATAAATTTAATAAAATAATAATCTTATATGGTAAGCCTGGTAAGGAATGGAGGGTGGCTCTGCGTCCATGCAGAATATTTCCTCTCCTCCTCTCCTGCTATAAGGTAAGGAATGGATGGTGCCTCTGCTTCCATGCAGAACCTTTCCCATGTGTGTGTCCAGGTACGTATCCGTATCTGTACACCCTGTTGTTTTTCAACCTTTCCTTTCCTATCCTATCCTATCCTATCCTATTTTGTTATACCCTAAAGGAATGGAGGCATTGGAGGGTGGCTCTGCTTCCATGCAGAACCGTTTCCATGTGTGTGTCCAGGTACGTATCCGTACACCCTGTTATTTTGCAACCTTTCCTATCCTATCCTATCCTATCCTATTGTATTTTCTTATACCCTACACTACACTATCTCCTTGTCATCTCTTATCCTATCCTATCCTATCCTATGATCTCCTGTCCTGTCCTGTCCTATCCTATCCCAGACCTTTCCTGCTCCGTGATATCCTTTTTTTTTTTTTTTAAGAAAACACGCCCCCTCAAGTGCTACTGGTGCTGGTAAGAGCAGCCACTGCGAGCACCAGGGGAGAGGCTCCATCTATGTGGTGGGGATCATCAGCTGCTGGAAAACGGGTCGGACTCCAGCGTCCCATTTACGACAACTGAGTTTGGAGGATATATAGCCCCTCGTTTGTTGTCCTATTCTCTCTCTCTGCCTACGGTTTTACCGGGCAGTTCTGTTTGTGACCATATATACTACGACTTCGCTAGCTTCCTGCTACGGTTTTTTCCGGTCAGGTCGAGCGGCAGTGGTC